CTTGTGCTTTCAAATAATTTATTTTTTTTCCTGAAAAGGAAACAAATTTGTCCTTATTAAAAAAAGAAAGTCACAGTTTTTTAAATATATAACTGATAAATTTTTATGTTACTTAAAAATTTTTAAAAAGATTTAATAGAATATAGAAGGAAGAGTAATAAATAAAGTAAAGAAAAAAAGACTGAAGAAATAGGATGGTAAAAAATATAATATATTTTCTTTTTAATAATTTTTTATTTTTCTCTTTTTTTTGTTCAATTTTTAAAAATATAAAGTCATGGTCATGGATCAAATAATGTATGTTTCATAATTTTTAAAAAAATTATAAAAACTTAAAATTTTTTGTTACAAAATTTTTAAAAAAATTATAAATATAACACTCATAATCTGATATTGATTAATTATGAACATACGATATAATATATAAGTAAAAATATAAATCTATACGTGTGAGACATTTGTTTAAAAAAAAGTAATGAAACTTTTGGATTAAAGCAAATAATATTTCATGAGTTAGATGTGAGTTTTCATAATTGATATTAAAGTGATCATCAATCAAAATTTTATGAGCTAAATACTATACTATAAGAGTTATCTTTAAAATTTTAATGAGTGAGAACTAAATATTATATAGTATGAGTCACCTCTAAAATCTTAATGTCTAATATGATTATGATAGTGTGTTAAGCTTAAATAGAATATCAAGTTTTAAAAGGGAGATTGCAATATTTTTAATCTCACATTAGTTAAGTGAATATATGATATCATATATAAGTAGACACTTAAATCTATATTTGTAATGTATTTTTATAAGATAAAATCGTAATTTTTGAGTTATAATGAACAATACACAAATTGGATACGAATCAAAATAAAAAATATTTCATAGATTGAGTACAAATCTTCACAATAAAAAAAAATAAAAAATGGTAGAAAATATTTAAAACTTTTTTATATGCATAAAAGGATCAAAATCATGTAAATAAAAATAAAAAAGGAGAAAATTAAAAACGAAACAAATAAGAATAATTTCATATTTCTCATCATTTATAATTTTTTCTTATTCCCGATTTCTCTATTTTTTTCATCAAATAATCTAAAATATTATTAATTAATGTAAAAAATTAATTCACTAAATATTTTTGTCAATATGTACTTTGTTAAATCTTTTGTCAAAATTATTTTAAATTAAAATTTTTAATTTAAAAATTGTTAAAAAAGAATAAAAATAGAGTAAAAAAATGAGACAAAATTTGTAAAACAAGTCCAATCCGTTTTTTTATTTTTTATCCTTATTCCCTTTTTTTTTTTCCTCTCCTTGCATCTTTTTTTTATTTTTTATTTTTATTTTTCGTTCCTTTCTGTTATTCTAGTTAACATGACTTATCGATGAGGTGGGGGCAGTCCACTGACCCCACTCACCACCTAGTCAACACGAAGGGATCTGAATAAGCCCTTTCCTCTCCTCTCCTCAATTCTTTTCTCCTCCACCGTTTCCTCCGTCGATCAATTAGTCACATTCCGTTCTTCCATGCTCCTTTTCCTCAACCCCTCTCCTTCCTCAGCTGCATCTCTCCTCCCTTAGCCCCTTACGTTCAATATTTTCTCTTTCATCCCTGCTCCTAATTTCTCCCAATTCCCTTATTCTTCAAAAAAAAAGAAAGAAAGCTAAAATCTCAAATTTGAACGCACAAACAGACAAAATAAAAAATAATACTCTTTAACTAAAATTTAAAAATCCCCTTAAGTCCCTCAAGACGAAAATATAAGTATAATTAAACTATGTTTCCCTTTCGATATTTTTTCATTTCCTAAAATGTCCTTGTCAATTTTATGTTTACAGAAAAAACACAAGGGTATTTTAATCTTTTAGTGTTGACAAAATTCGTGTGGGAATGGGATGGAGTCTCACTTTGAAATAGTTGGGTGGTAAGCAATCGCTACTGAATAATAGAAAAAAATTCTAATTATTTTCTTTAAAAAAATTGATCATGTGATTTAAGAGGATCTCGACTTCAAGATGTTCAATCCAAGTACATTAAAAGTTAAAACACATAAAAATGAGAATAATGTTTTCTATAAGTGAAAAAAAAAAACCCGAATTTCTAATTTTGTTTTCTATGCTTGGTGTAATGCACGTTTTCATGAAATCGAAAATACGATATTTTAGTATGATATAAAAATAATATAAAAAATAAAAAATTATATAATTTAAAATTTTATTAAAAATTATATATAGATTTAATAAGAACAAAAAATATTTTTTATGTTTTTCGTAATAACACGTATTATGACTTATAATTTTTATGTAAAATATGATGTAAATATATGAATTATTAGTATTTTACATTATATAAATACATAAATTATTATATCTACTTGCAACTTAAGGTTTTATAAAAGTAATCTTATTGTAAAATAAACTAAAGCAAAATGGAATGCAATTGAAGAAAAATAAAATAATAAATGTTAATTATTTATTTAGATATGATAATTTGTGTATATATGTCTCATTTATTATATATTAAATATATGTAAAATATAAAAATTGTAATGTCATAATTTACATCGTCACACCAAATTAAATTTTTTTTTTGTTTTTATCAAACCTATATATATGATTGTTCTTAACATTTTATAACGTGTTAATTTTATTTTATTTTTATATAGATTTCATTTCATGTTTAAAATTATCGAATCTATTAAATATTTTAATTATGTAATATATGAAGTATGGTTTGATCGTGATTGTAATTTCAGTAAAAAAAAAATCTCTCTTTCATGACAATAAGATAGTTCTTTTTTTAATGCGACCATGAAATCTTTAAATTTTATTTCCATCTAAGGTCTTTTTCTGATGATTTTAAAGATAAACTCCCTCTCATATGTACGATCCATTTAGTATTACAATTTTGAATTATTTCCCATAAAAATCAAATTTTGCTTGATAAAAAAAATTTCCTTATCATTGAACTAAATAGAAGAGTTTAGATCGTTTTCGAATTAGTTTTTGAATGGCATTGGTTTTGAATTTTGATGTTCACGTCAGAGTTTGAAGCTATTTTCCACTAAACCGTGAGTAGAGTTTCTCTTTTAGACGAATCTCTCAATTCCACCAAACTTAGAACACTGTTTGACATCCAAAAGAGTGAATTGAAACAGCAAAATTTCAAACTGTTTGGTTATAAGAACTAAAATTCAATTTGTTTGGTTGGTTCATGACAACGGCCATGAAAAAAAAAAAAAACCCTAAACCTACTTATTGACTGTAAAGAAAAACCAAGCACGTTGTTCCGGATGCTCATGCTTTTCTGTTAGATGCGTTGACAACCTCGTATGAACACAACTTTTGTAGATAATCTTGCATTTAAGGATGTTGTTTCTTTACTTTTGGTCCATCAAAAACAATGCTCTTTCCCATGGAATTTCCTAATCAAAATTTTCTTTTGTTTGATAAGTAATGACAGAAATCTCTTATAGGTAAATATTACATTCTTATCATCTTAGGAAACTAAAGATTTTATTTTTCCTTCAAAATTAGCCTGTCCAAGTGACAAATAAACTAAAAGTACGGATGTTTGCATTTTATCTAGACTCTATGTTTTTTTTTTTTCACTTTATGTACAAAACAAAAATTTTCATATCAAATCAACACGTAAAAAATAAAAAATATATTTTTTTGCTAAACTTAGTTATTTATAAATTTTTAAAAAAATTTTAAACTATATTATTTTATATTTTATTTCATATTATTTTTATATTTTATTTAAAATTATCAAATTTAATTTTATCTCCACATTTTCACCGAGCCAACCAAGTTTGGTGTCTTCTAATAAAGTATGGTTAAATATTGGATCAACATATCCATGAAGGCAATCCGAATCTGACTCGGTGCTATTATTAAATATAGGTTCAAAATTTTTGTTTTTATGCTTGGGATTACTAGAATTTAAATTTTCATAATTAAAATTAAAATTTTAATATTTTATCAATAAATAATATAACTATTAGCTCAAATTTATTATTTTATTTATGATGATATATTAAATTTGTTATTAATTTTTAAATAAGTTAAAATTTATCATGGTACTTGTTAATTTGATTAAATATTGATTAAAAATTAAGATTAAAAAATTCATAAGAAAATAAAAAAATATTTTAAAAATATTTAACCTTTTAATTATTTTTTAATCAAATTAAAATATATAATAATAATATTAGATCCATTTAAAAATTAATGATAAATTTAATTCATCATTTTAAATAAAATAATATAAAAATTAGCATTCGAGTTGTGTTCGAATCCTTCCTTAAATAAAAAAAAATCAAAATTGAAGTACTAAAACTTGGAACTAGGGACATAGTAATCTGACAAGACGATAAAGAACCTTTGGCTGATTTTTGATAGATGGATGGGACTTATCGATCTTGTCGTATATACAGACAATTAATTTTTAATATATTTTTAAAATAAATTATATAATTTAAAATATAATATAATGATATAATATAAATATGATATGAATATAAATTATAAAAATAATATAATTTAAAATTTAATAAAATTATATTTTTATATTAATATAAATTATAAATTATAATCTTAATATAAAATATAATAAAAATATATAAATTTTAATATTTTATACTATACATTAATAGCTAGATTTATTAAGCCAAGGAAAATTTGTTTTGATAGATGGACGGGGCTTCTGATCGTTTCATACATGTCGACAATTAATTCACAGTATGTTTTTCTATCATTTGAAAGGCAAGGAAACTTTGTTTTGTTTTTTTTCAATGGATTTGTTTTCTATTGCACAGCAGATGACTTGGTTAAACAGATTAACAGCTAACAAAGAAACTTTGAATATAATTATTTTTCCTTTTACCAAATGAATTTAATTTTTTACAAATGACTGTATAAATCTAGTAAATCATACTATAATTGTGTACAAAAAACATTGTTACCAGATTTACATGCAGGAAAACATAAGTGATACATATGTTGCTGGTCAAAATGAATAAGAGGAATAAGAAAAATTATTATTACAGAAAAGTTAAAAAGAGAGAGCTGGAAGCTTGAAACTATCCACCTTAGTGCCTTACAATCCACGATTCTTTTTTCTCCCCCACCAAAAATCAGTATATAGGGGCTTCTGTTCCTCACCACCCTTTCCATTTCTCCTAGTGGAAGCTTTTCTGTTCATTTTTTCCTCTCCTTTTCTCTTCCTTTAGGCACTTTCTTGCTTACTTATTGGGCTTTGAATTTGCTTTTCAGGTTGGGTTTTCTTTGTTTTCTTCCTTTTTGCCATTCAAGATTTTGAATTTGTTTAGTAATTGAATCAGGGGTCTAGATTCTGTAGGAGGGGCTTTTAGAATGGAAAACATTTCTAGGAAGGAAGATGAACAGATGGAATTGCCTCCAGGGTTTCGATTCCACCCGACCGATGAAGAGTTGATAATTCACTATCTTTCCCAGAAAGTTCTCTATCCTAAGTTCTATGCTATAGCCATTGGTGAGGTTGATTTGAACAAGTGTGAGCCTTGGGATTTGCCTTGTATGTCTCCCAAGTTTGATTCTCTCTGTTTTCTTCTGTTTCATAAGGTAATTTATGTTTTTAGAATTTATTTTAACTTTATGCTTTGTGTTTGTTGAAATGAAGGGAGGGCCAAAATGGGTGAAAAAGAATGGTATTTTTTCTGTGTTAGGGACAGAAAATACCCTACTGGTTTGAGAACAAACAGGGCTACCGGAGCTGGTTATTGGAAAGCCACAGGCAAAGATAAAGAGATTTTCAAGGCTAAAACACTTGTTGGAATGAAGAAAACCTTGGTTTTCTACAAAGGGAGAGCACCCAAAGGTGAAAAAACCAATTGGATCATGCATGAATATCGTTTAGAAGGGAAATTTTCAGTATACAGTCTCCCCAAAACAGCCAAGGTTTCCTCTGTTTTCCTCTGTTTTTTGTTTTCTACTCCTTTTTCTTTGTATCATTCCTTCACACTTGTTTCCCTCTTGCTTTGCAGAACGAGTGGGTTATTTGTAGAGTATTTCAAAAGACCCCTGGTGGTAAAAAAATGCATATTTCAGGATTTACCAGGCTGAGTTCCTATGAGAACGGTTTGCCTCCATTGATGGATTCTTCACCACACAATAGCGAAACAAGAACTGGCGCTGGCGAGGCATCTAACGCGACCTGGTTCTCCGATCCCATGGAGGACCAGAAAATACCTGAAGAAATGATTGATAGCTTCACCACTTGTCTTCTAGCTTCGTCATCTTCGTCTGATATATCCGCTACTTCAGTTTTTTTGTCTGAAGCCTCTCTGCAAAACTCTGCATACATCAACCAAATCATTGCAAACATTGGAAACTTGCAATACTCAGATTCCTTTTGGATGCAAGATCAATCTATATTGAAGACGTTGCTCGAAAGTCCTGGAGGGCGCTCGAAGCAGAATTCAAAAGCAGAGTTCTCCCAGGATTCAGTCCTATCAAATCCTGAAATGATTCAAGATCCTTCATGTTCTGCAGGACCAGTAGACCTTGGTTGCCTCTGGAGCTATTAAATTTGAAGATAGAAAAAAAAAAGTCATAAAATTTATGTGTATAACGGTAGGCAAGTAAATAAAATGCTTGTGTTGTAAGAAGTTGGTTATACTTTTTTTAGGTTTTGATTGCCGATCTTTATTTATGTCATGGCCTCTTAATTGTCAAACTTCTATTATACAAAACTATTGTAATTCTAGCCATGTTAATTATAGTGCATAAGCTTGATTTATTTATTTTGAATGTCTTGAAATAAATTTTTTTGGTATAAATGAGGTTGTAGTCTTGTATATTTTAAATATCATATTTTAAGAATGATTGTATAAATCAATAAGATTAAACTTTAGTTTTAATGGGTTTTTTTTTATAAAAGAGATTGTAATATGAGAATAAAAAAAAGGTTACGGGTCTAATTTTTGAACTTGAAACTTAAAAAATGTAATTTTTTAAAGATAACTGAATTAAAAATTTAACTAAAGCCCGGATTTATGTCTCAAAAAATTTAATTATAGAACTTTTCATGTTTTGAAAAATATGACCTTATTTATCTGATAACCCAATAACATGTTTTAATGCTTGCCCTTTTTGGTAGATTAGTTAGCAACTCTATCTCTCTTTTTTTTTGTCCCCTGGATTATATCACATGTTAGGCCACCAACCAAGAGTTCATGAATGATTAAGAACAAATGACAAAATGCTATCGTGACATCGAAGAATTTTACAGCCTTTGAACCTTTCTTTAGAACAGATTTTTTCGATAGCCTCATATTCTTCGATAATTTAGGTTTTATTTGGTTCATATTGTACTTACAGCTAGTCAGGTCAATCAAATGAAATAACAGCTTTCATTGTCTCTCATTAAAATCTTTCCCCAGTTAAGCTTTCTACGCAAATAAAGTGTCCCAATTTAAAAAGACCTCGTTAAATTCTTGTATGCAAACTCTAACCTCATGAACTTGCAGAATTAGCCATAAAAAAAGTTTGATCAATGGCCTTTTTTCTTGCGGTTTGAGCTAAATGTAGGGTTCAGGGGGTTAACCAGGGTTGGCTACCTGCAAATTTGATATTGTTGTAGACATTTAAAACCCTACTTTTTGTCTGAAAAGAAGATACTGATAAATGTGCTTTTTGTCCGAGAAAGAAGATATCTTAGACTGATATGGTTGAAGCCTTCCAATTTGGAAGTTTATATAGCATGTTGATTAGGCTACCGATGGGTGAATTATGTATTAGTCAGTCGTAGTATGTATTTGAGCTAAATCGACTTGATTTATTGTTAGGATCAAGTTTGGATGGATTTGAAAGTTCTATGCCCAAAATTTAATTTGAGCTCAATTAAATTTTATTTTTAAATTTGAGCTTAGCCTATGATTTACTCTAGTAATATAAGTTCGGTTTGATAAAATAATAAATATAAACATTAAATATGATATTTTTGTCATTTATTTATATATACATATTAAATATATTTAAAAGTAATACTCAATAAATTTATGAGCTTTTTGAATTAAATATTAAAATATTTTATCTTGGTTTTTTGATTCGTTACTTGAATAATTTAAATTTGACTCAATAATAAATAAATTAAACTTATCAAATTAAATTTGCATAACTTTTCTGACTCGTTCACACCATTAATAAGATGCTGTAAGGCAATTCCAAATAAATGGATTGGGCCCTATAGTTAGGTAATGTACCTAAAATGTCAAAGGAGACCGAAAAATTACTATTATACTTTATGTTGCTCTAACTCTTTCTTTTCTTTGAACTACTAACATTAGACACAAATCCGATTAATATGATTGAAATTCAGATCCTTCAAATATATGAAAAGCCTTCTAAAAAAAAAAAAAAATTTAACCTACCCATATCAAACACTCAGGTTTTACTTTCTATATTGAATCAAAGCCAGAAAGATTAAATAGAAGAAATTCTACCGAGACAATACAAAGCCAAATCTGCATATTCAATATTCTGCAGTGCTACTCTATTGCTGTGTGAGAATGCACTTGATTTATCATTGTTTATCCTCCAAAGAAAGCATGATTTTACACTCAGTATAACAGATATCTCCCCTTAAAAACCAAGAAAAAAAAAGTGGTTGTGGGGGAACTTTGGAAAGTGAATGTTAACAGCTCCACCAAAATTAATAAATTAAGAGTAAATGTTAACAGTAAATTCTCCTAAAAAACCTGTTCACCCACATTATTAAATCTCTTAATTCCTATATAGTTTAAGCCTTGCACGTAATGATTCTTACCACATCTAATGGAAAAAAACAAAAAGTTTCATTTACTAATTAGGTATATAACTTTCATTTAGAGTCGAATTCAATCTGTCTTTTAGTTCAAGGAACAGACAAAATTCAGCATTTAAGTTTGGGACCCTCGCTCAACTAGTTATTTGAATCAAACAGTGCTTACTTTTGTCTATTTTTGTTTGATTAATTGGTTAATGGTGTTACTGGTGTATTCTAACTCCACCACAAATAAGCTAAAAAATTATGGTTTTTTTAAGATAATATGCATATATATTCTATTCAAAATTGTTGTTTGAAGAACTTAATTTTGTTTTTTTTTTTTATAAAATAAGTCGCATTTTTTAAAAAATTTGTAAATATTAGAATTTAAATTTTACAATTATTGAATATAATTTTTAAAAATAATTGTATGAATTAATTGAATTAAAATTAAAATTTAAAACTTCCTTAATCTTGTGTTTTTCTTGTATTAAAAGTGAGATAATATTTTCAAAAGTTAACTTTTAAAACAAAGTTTCTCTTTTATTAACAATTAAAACGCAGTAATAATTTCATACAATCTTTTGGGTTTACGAGATATTGATTAAGACATTGAAACATCAGTTGTTAAGTTCAATTATTTTAATTTAAGCATTTAATTTCCAAACACTTGGGATTAGGTCAAAATTGTAGCAAATAACAAACCCTAGTAGATATTAATTTCAACCCATCAAAGATATTTGACATGAGATTAAATCCAATTTTTTGTGTCGTTATTAGGGATAGTTAAGTTTACTAACAAAACAGTGCAAACCTAAACAAAAGACCAAAATATCATGCTCAAAAGCTCCAAGGGAGTGGGCTATAAGGAATTGGTCAAAGTGAGGTGGGAAAGATAGTGTGAAGGTTGAAGAAGAAGAATAACCACTCTAAATGGCTTAAACGTGGTATCATGTTAAACAAAATAAAAAAATTAATTAAAAATGTAAAACATGTGGTAGTTTTTTAATTTTGTTTGTGATATTAAAAATTTTTATTATTAATTTATCAAAAACGAATTCTAATTTGATTATTACATATAAAAATAAATTTAAAAAATTATTTATTTTTTATTTAATTTACATAAACAATCAAGATTCACCTCTAACGATTATTTACCTTCTCTAAAAAAATTTCAAAAATTTGAATTTATTTCTTTCTTTAATCAATTTCTTTATATTTACAATAGAAAAATATATATATATAATTTTTGCCTGCGTAATTAAGCTTTTTTTATCTTTCAAAATGTATGGAACAGATTAAATTTACTCTTAATAAAAAGAAGATTTTGTAACAATTATTATTATTTATCCATTTTCAAATAAATTTTAATTTAAAAGTTTAATAATATTATCTGTCAACTATTGTCGATGATGATCAAGGTTGTATTGATATTTCTTTGATGGCTTTGAGGGAATGATTGTAAATTTGTAAGTGCCTCTTTAGAAAATACGAAGTCGTCACAGCAGGCTCTCACATGCACCTCAACTGTTGTTTTATGGACAATTGGACATGTTATAACATTTAAAGATTAAAATCAAGATTTGGCTTTGGACACATTGGTCCAAAACACTAAATCGAATTCAGCCCATAATGATGGGTTGAAGAAAAACCCAAAGGCTGCTGACTTTGTGGCTCGAGTGATAGGTAATATAATTTTGTTTCTTTTCCAATCCTAGCATAGGGACAAATTTTACATAAAAATTTTCATATAAAGTTTATAAAATTTTAAAAAAAATTAATAAAAATTTTAATTAAAAATTAAAATTGATAGATTGATAGAGTTTAATATAAAAATCAATAATATGTAAAAACTTATTAAAAATATTATTTATAATTTAAATTTAATTGATAATTATTTAATGATAAAAATTTTATTAATATTTTTATTAAAAATATTTTTTAAAATATATATTAAAATTTTTTCAAAATTTTCATATTTAATTTATGTAACGAGATCTTTTAATCTATTGATTTTGATTTTTTATTTTATTATATATAATATAAATTTTACAAATTTCACCTAAAAATCTTATTTAAGTTTTTTCCCTAATAGAGATGGCAATTTGACAAATTAAGTCATTTCAAATCAGATCATTTTAGGATTAAATTGTTTTGAATTCAAGTAATTTAGATTTAAAATTTGAATTATTCAAATTTAAGTTATTAATTTTTAAAGTAAAATCAATTTCAATTTCCATTATTTTGAGTTAATATTTAAAATCATTCAAGTTTGTATTATTAGTGTTGCGTATTGAATGAATTTGAGATATTAATTTTTATTTATCAAATCGAGTTAGACCGGATTTAATTTCCAGCAAGTCGAATGGGTTTTGTTAATTCGGATTAACTGTGTCAGCTTTTACTACTACTGAGGTCTAGTAATTTCTATGAATTCCTGTTTGCAATTTACAGCAAGCCTACCAGCATATGCGGCGGTCTTTAAACTTCTTTACATATGTTGGATTGTGATCGGCCTAGAACAATTAAGCTTGACAAAACTAGTCTGGATTCATATTTCAAGACTGGAAACCGATCCAAGTAGTCCGATTTAACTATTTTAATATTATATAAAAGAAGAAAATTATTTAAAAAATTATTAGAATAATTTGTTAATCTAATTTAGGAGAATCATCATTTGTCGAGTATTAAGGAAGGGAAAAGACAGGAATCAATTGATACAGTGAAGTTGATCAAAGAATTAATTAATTATTAAAATTGTATGAATTTTGGCCAGACGGACCGGCAAGTCAACCAGCTTTTGTTGTTTTCTCATTTTATTTTCATTTTTAATTTTTAGTTAACAAAAGATCATTGTCAAGATATTAATTAAAAATGCCGAAAAATGAATGATGTTGAATATGAAAATGATATTGGGTCTTGAATCTCTTAATTACGTAACTGAAAATTACTGCATTTAATCGCATTTAATTTGATAACGAATGTAGCAATTGCCTTGTCCTTGTGAA